AGCTTGATGATTTTACCTGAAAGAACCTGCATAATTTCTCCACTGGAAATTATACCTGCAGGGATGAAGCTGAAAAACAACAACAACTGGCACAAAGTTATGATTATAAGCCAATCCTTAATGGAGATAAATCCCTCTCGTCCTTCGGCTCAGCTTGTGGCTGCCCCCCGATACCTCATCTCCCCGAGACCCTGGATACGTGAAGAATGATCCCTGCAGGGATCAAAGGGCTCCCTGCCTCAGAGCCCCAGAGCGCCACGTACAGGACAAGCCAGAGGGTGCCACCTCCACCCACTCTTTGATGCAATAATTAGGAAATCAGCGGACGAAGGTCACCCGGGACGCTTGACATCACACGGGGACCACAGTGATGCGGTGGCGATGCAGGCGGTCAGCCGTGCTCATCCCAGTCCCCCAGTGGCCATTGCCATCCTGCGGATTTCACTGAGGATTAGTGGTGGGATTTGGAAAGTAATCATTACCTGCACTTTCGGAGGCCCTGGTAATTCAATTACCTGCCACCCCCACAAACAGAGGCCCGAATGCGAGCAGGAGAAGGCGTCAGACACAAGACACGCACACGCAGTGTTCACGGAAAAAGCAGAAAGAGTCCCATCATACAGGCAGTATAATTAACAACTATCAAAAGATAACCTGCAGACATTGACACTCTAAACACACCTTTACAATGTTATGTTGATAACATTTCAATCCCAGAAGGCCGTTCTCCAGCCCGGGGTCTCGTTCGAGCCCGCTCAATGCAGCCTTTTGTTGCATTTTTCAATACCTGGGATTTCAATAGCTGGCTCAAGTGGAGGAAAAAATGCTACTGATATGACTGGGAATCATAAGGTTTGGTTATTAAATATCTATACGGATATTAAAGGGGAGTAAGCGGAGGAGAGAGAACGGAGAAAGGTGGAATGGAGAGAAGCAGGAGGGGATCGGAGAGAGTGTGTCACACACACTCACTGTGCTCCAGATGGATGCCGAAATAGATGCTCCTGACACGCAAATACACACACACACACACACACACTTTCAGAGACAGAAATATGAAAACCTCACATTACTCACATGCAGAAGACTCACATGCAGGCAGACACGTACACGCATGTGCGCACACACACAAACACACACACACACACACAATATAAACATTCTCACAGTGAGTAAACAAACCACACGAAGCCTCCTGCGCCACCAAGCGTTCCAGCCCCTGTTCACCATCCTTTTCAAATGACTGTCACTGCAGACACTTCACAACCTCCCTTAGGAACGCCGAGCACATCTGTCCAAAAGCACCCCCCCCCCCAGTCTGGCACTTCTTCCCAGGAAGCAAATAGAGGAGGAAAAAAACACAAATCCTGAACTGAACAAACTCAGCTGTATCACTACACAGAGATGGAGAGAGGTTGACGTGGAATGCTTCACACATCCTCTAATCTCCCAGAATGCAATCCTCCTAAACCAGCAGGGCACAGGAAGCTTCATGTCGACATGGCAACAACAACAACAAATACAACAAAAGGAAACTCCAGCTGTAACTGCCCACCGAGTGCCCTGTTGAAGAACATGCTGTCTGCCTGTGGTCACAAAATATCCAGCTAGATCAAAGACAAGACATGGGTGACAGAAGGGGAAAATGGCCCCTACGATCAGCCGTCCTGGTCTCGGGTTTGAGAAAGGCCACAACCCAGCACGCTGACCCCTCCCCCCATCTGCCATCAGTGACCCCACTGAAGTCTGCGTAGCCAAAACTATCAACAGGGAATCAGCATTGTACGCCACTGCCAACTTGGACCCATCTTTCTCTCGAAAAGTTAAAGGCGTAATTACCGCTCCCATGCACTTGTCCTTAAAACCTAAAAGCATTAAGATAAAGCAGCTTTAGGAGGGAGCCTATTACAGCCTTTTTCACACCATCATCTTCACAAGCCGCAGTCCTGACGGCCCGGGAATTTCCTGCCTTTCTGGGGACAGCAGAAGCACTGTCACGCTAATCAAATCCTTAATAACCTGTCACTCAGCAACAATTAAACATAATTAATAGAAATCCACTTAAGCCGTAGACCATGCATAATAATGAGTTACTTTTTTAAACTAAAAAGCAATTCAGGAAGCAGTGACACAGTCCGACAGCTCGGGAGACAAACAGCAGCGTTTAGCTGAGGCCTGCTTCTATTTACAGCAGAGCGGCTCCCACTAAGCGTACAGTAAGTTAATTATCTGATAGCATCGCCCAGCAGTGCCTGGGTGGGAAAGGACCAGAACTGATTGCATTAAGTCACGCGTGTTTCCAGGCCTATTGTCTCTCAGGATGAGGGGCGGATAAATCCTGAGCTGTCTGCAGTAACCCAGGAATCTCCTTTGGCTCAACGAGGCGAAACAGCCACATGGGGTGGTGGTGGGGGGGGTTCGTATGGAAGGGGAACTGGAGCAGGTGGGAGGCCTTGGTTAAATTGAGGCCGAAAATACCAGGTGAACCTAGCAAGATGTCTGTGAACCTAGCAAGATTCTAGCATGAATGTAATGTGAACATTACATGATCATAGCGTGTACCAAGCAACATCCTAGTGCAAGCCTAACTTGATCCTAGTATGATCTTAGTGTGATGTAAAGACATGTCTAGTATGATCCTAGTGTAATCTAAGTACATTTCTAGTATAAACCTAGCGTGATCCTACCATGATCCTAGCGTGATCAACGCACATTTCTAGCATGAACTTAGTGTGAAAAGCAGACTTGCCAGTACTGCCAATACTCCACAGAGAAAGGCTGGGATGGACAGTAACATGACACACCTAAAAAAAACCACACCGGCGCCGCAATCGGTTCCGCTCTTGAAGGAATTGGACTATGGAAGCAAACATGGCTGCTGTTCTGCTAATGATTTCATATGAAAGGTAGGTTGTTCAAAGTGGTGTTACTGAACATCAGAATGTGACATGACGTGGTGCTGCCTGTGTTCCGCCATAGCTGGCTAAGTTACACTGCGCTGGCTATTTTGAGTCACTGAGTTTGCACAGCATATGTCCTGCAGGCAGTTCTGTATGACTAACGGTACCAGGGCCCATGAGGCGTGGCTCTCGGCGGCGCTGACCAGTCCCACGGGCCCCCCTCCAACGGGCGAGAGACAGACACGCACAACTGGCGGCTCTCCAGAAGCGGGCCGGCCAATAAACACGGCCACTCCATCTCCCTGCTCGCCAAGAGCCCTTGGTATCTTTCAGCCTGGCGGGGGGGTGGAGGGGTTTCTGAGGGACGTCAAGGAGATGCAGCACGCCTAAGAATACGGGGTTCCGTAATTAGTGAGTGTGCGACGGGGCGATAACAGAAACGCAAGTTGTTAATTTTGGCTGAGGCTGGGGAGCTCCAGTACGCCTCAGCAGAGGAACCCCCCTGCCGTGTCATCCCCCCGCCCACAGACGAGGCAGCCCCCACCCCATCACCTTCAGCACGTCCTTGGCAACGCCTGGCCCCTTCCTCCTTCCTTCACACACTCACAGAGCCCCCCCACACCATGATTTATTTTGAGCTGGGGGGGCAGTGAGATAATGCAACGGACCAGTTGGGGGAACATGTGCCAAATTACCACGTTTATGGCCCCCTGCCTGGACAGAGCTTCACTTCATTATCGTCTGACAGAGCCAGCGGAGAGAAATCACGAGTGTGCCGCCTTAGGATGGGTTTGCGGGGGTGGGGGTAGGGGTGGGGGGCTGGCTTATGTAATTGCTGTGTTTTCCTACACGCAGGGAGCAAACTGAAACGGTTTCCCAGAAAAGCGCAAAGGCACTCCCCTGTCCGTGCCGTGCATATCCCGGCAAATTGGGGGGGGGGGGGCGCTAACCAGTAGGGATACTTCATCTATTTAATGCGTGTGCCCTGTCCCGCGATCTGCACTCTGTCACTTTGGATATGTCACAAATAATAAGTCGGAAAGAAAATACAGGGGCTGCTGCCATTCCCCCCCCCCCCCCCCCCCCCCCCCCCCACCCCACTGCATGGGCGCGGTCCAGCGGAATCACCCATGGCGCTGCTTTAGATCGCCGCTCTCTCACACTGGGGGGTCCCCCAACCTGCGCCGATGCACAAAATAAATTCTCTGCTTCTCTCCTCAACGTTTGATCTTTTTTAAAACCCACACCAAAGATGCTGCTGCTCTCTTTATTAGAGTCTTTTTAAGCTGCCGCAGATACACAGCGTATGAATCAGGCTTGATTGGTTACAGCTAAACACAGATGTTCTGCTGTTGTGTGAGGCTAAATTAGTAAAATGGGTAAACTTGCTAAAATGTAAACAAAGAGTACTAAAGGTATACAGACTAGCATTATAAAACTTCTGTAGTCAATATGTAGGAAGAAATCGGGCCAGAGGTTGGGTGGACTTTTAAGCATCCAAAATCTAAGCGGCCCCATTGCACGCCAGGAATAGAGATGCGTTTGTAAAGCATGATAACCAAATCCTCAACAGGATATCCTAACCCTAACCCTAACCTATCCAGCACGGTATGTCATGTTTTTTTTTTTTTTTGGTCGATCACCTCCAGTCCCCCGTGGCAGCATTTTTGAGCCATTTCCCTTCCAGAAAAGTAAAATCGATATTTCATTAGCAGAAGTCTTTAAACGGGGAAGCAGTTACGCCCACAGATCTAGAGAAACGCGGCCTTTGCCGTGTCGGCACCTAAATTGCTTTGTGTTACACTTTCCTTTGGCTCTAAGAGGCTCCCCGGTTTTTACCCCATTCTCTCAGGAACAACGGCCTAAAACTTTTGATTTTGTGCACGTTGTCTTGAAGCACTGCCGGCTGTGACCGCACCTTACGAAACGATGAACCCTGAAGACTGGCATTTAGTCATAAAGACTAGGGAGGAGGAGGCTGCTTAGCGGCACCTGAAAGGCTGGGGCCGCGCGGCGCTCCTCGCCAGACCTCTCGGTACCCCTGACATTTCGACGGAGGCGAAGCTCTCTGGCTTTTGAGGAAAGGGGACAGGGGCTAACCTTCAAATTCAGCGGTGTCCGGCACGTGAGCTCCGGGGGTTCCTGTCTCGGGCCAGGCGGCGTCTCAGTTGATGTACCTGAGGTAGGAGAGGAGTTGGGAGGGATTTAGGGTCGTGGCCCGATGGCTGATGCAGGAAAAGGAAAGCAGTTTTCTCAGAATGCCTCCCTGGCAGCTGCATCCCATAGCATTACACATTAGCCCATTTTTAGCAGATGCTTTTATCCAAGGCGGCGCACATTTGATAAAACATGGTCTGCCAGTCCCTTGAGCGGCTGGGGGTTAAGGGCCTTGCTCAAGGCCCCAACAGTGACATCACTCCGTCAACCACAGGATTAGACCCGGTGACCATCCAATCACAGGCAGTGACCTAACCTTCTGAGCCACACACTGACCCCCAATGCGGTATCACAATCTTGGATTTCCACTGCCAAGGCTCAGAGCTTGAAAGAAGGGTCCGTAGCAGCTCGACGCCCGCACTCCTGTTGGAGCATGGAGCACTCTTTTACGACCAGAACACAGATGAAAGATGTATGACTACCTGACATTGTGAGAGACCAGACTCAACAACAGGAACAGGATAAATAATCAGAGTTCTTAATAACTAGAGAGGCAGACAGATGCCAGATTAAGGGGGCAGGTAGGAGTCCATCATTCCATCTGAACATCTTCAAACTGCTCATCCAGAATGGTGTGGGGGCCTGGAGTCTATTCCAGGAAGCACATACAGGGCACAAGGTAGGTACATCCTGGATGAGATGCCAGTCCATCACAGGGTACACAAGCCCGCATGACACAGGAGGAACAGGCAAATGCCACACATGGGGCCAGGGTGGAATTCAAACACCCAGCAGAGCCATCCACTGTGTTACCATGCTGCCTGCGTAGCTAGGTGTCATAACGGAAAGGCTGAATAAGTGAGCCTGAGGAGCAGTCAAGGCAGAGCCTGCCAAACCAGGAGACACCTACCCTGAAGAATATTGATGCTCTCTAGTGGATGGGTAGATTCACCACACAGCAGCACCATCACTTTCAATGAAATTGCTCCACTATGACATAATATAAGACATAATAATCTACATCAGCAACAGTAGACCCAAAAGACCCAAACTCATTAACACTGGGGAATCTGAAATGAGTATCCAACCGGCTAAACGGTTTCACTAAGCTGCGGTCTGTCAGCTGCAATAACACCTTCATCAACCTGCCCAAATCCTCCTTCCGTCCTCCACAGCTTGGCCCTAAGCTCCTCCATTCATCTCCAAACATCGTCTCCAGTCTCCTGTTTTTATCATGCCTTTTTCAGAGGTCATGTGTTACTCTGGCTTGAAACCCTGCTAATGGGACGGCGACAGCTTGTGCAATTGCTCTCAATTTAACATGTCAAAATGCCTGTTGAATGTCATGTGACATGGGGGTGTGGCCGACTTGGGAAAGGGTGAGGTAACATGGTGAGCCAGTTTGTTCATTTCACCTTAGTCACCTTACCAATTACACTGTTCTCTTGATTTGCTCTTGGAGCCCCAGCAGAATACTTTTTAAAATGTATCCAATTTAATTTAGTCAAAATTACTTTTTATGGGGAAAGCAGGGTCAACCAGTCTCTGGAGCAATTGCAGGTTAAGGGTCTTGCTCAACAGCCCAACAGTGAACCCAGCAGTCCCTCTGCCAGCCCGGGGATTTCAAACCTGCAACCTTCCAATCACAAGCATAGTGTTTCCACCTGCTATGCCACACACTGCCCCTAGAACACAACCCCAATCCTCAGTGGCGT